CCCTGGGGCTCCTAGTGACAAGGGACTAACGTGGGCCAGAACTGTTCCCTCCTGCACCGTCGCTGTTCTATCGGAGATGTTCAGCACCTGAATGAACAGATGCTGGTTCCTCTGTACAATAGTTTCGGCCCCCACCAGCGCATGGCGATCCATGGCAGCTGATGCCGGAGACACCAGGATGGGTGAGTCTGGTCGGGCTGTCACGAGGGGAGACCGATATTGCAGCGGAATCAGCATCTGGGCTGCCGGGGGAATGGAGACAGACTTACTGACCAGAGCCTGCACGTAGGGTACTCCCCGGCTGGCTCCCTCCGCCTTTAGGAAATGGAGATGCGTTCCCTGGACTTCCACCCGCCCATTGGCCAGATCGATTTTCATTGGCATCCGCCTCAGAAAGTCCGTCCCCAACAGGCAGGGTACGGGCAATGTTGCGGAGACAAGGATGGGTCCTGCTACCGAAAGCTGCCCAATCTGTATCGGGGCTTCAACCTGGCCCAGGAAGCCCATGCTGCCTCCATTTGCTGCAATGAACGTTGTCTTGACGGGGACTAAAGGTCGGATTTTATCCGGCAGCATCTCGTGCATGGTGCTCGAGATGATCGTGGCTGATGCCCCCGTATCAACCAAGATACGTGCCGACACTCCCGCGATTTCACCGACCAGGACCGAGGTTCCTGACGTGGCCGCTACCACCCGCCTTGCCAGCTTCCTCCATTGTGTGGCTGAGTCCGGCCACTGACCAGGCGGCGTCTCGTTATCCTGTGGTGCATGGTGAAATGATGGGGGATGGATGTGAATGGACTGAAGATGGGGTTCCTCCCTTTGGAGTGCGTCGCAGCAGGGTGAACGCGCCCTTGTTACATAGTGTGGGCTTACCCCTGGGTTGCGGGCTGGGCTCTCTGTGTGGTGCAAATTGCCCCCCTTTGGTGACGTAGGATGGGCCCCCCTTGTGGTGTGGGGGGCCCCCCCCATTGTAGGGGGCAGTGGGGACTGGGGGGTGGGCCTTCCCGTGAGCCCCTCCCTTCTCCCCTCCCTTCCCTTTGTCACGGGGGCGTGGTCCCCCTGGTTCCGTCTCAATCTGCCGCAAAGCGGTGGTGAGGCGGCCCGTGGAACTGCTTCAGGGCGCACTGTCAATCTTGTGGGCTGCCTCCGCCCCCGGGCCGTTGCCCCTGGCAACTCGCCGGCGTCGCAGGCAATTGGTGACGTCACGCCCGCCGGCGACGTCACGCTCGCCCGCGACGTCACGCCCGCCCGCGACGTCACGCCCGCCCGGGACGTCACGCCCGCCCGCGACGTCACGCCCGCCCGGGACGTCACGCCCGCCCGCGACGTCACGCCCGCCGGTGAAACCACGCCCGCCCGTGACGTCACCTCCGCCCGCGACGTCACCTCCGCCCGCGACGTCACGTCCGCCCGCGACGTCCCTTCCGGCCCCGGCGCGACTCCCGACGCGGTCTCCGGCCCCGGCGCGACTCCCGACGCGGTCTCCGGCCCCGGCGCGATCCCCGACGTGGTCCACGGCCCCGGCGCAATTCCCGGCGCGATCCGCGACACCACTCCTGGCCGCGACGTCACTCCCGGATGCAACGTCACGTCCGTTCGCGACGCCACTCCGGGTCGCGACGCCACCCCTGGTCGCGACGCAATCCCAGGCCCCGGCGCTATCCCCGGCGCGATTCCCTTCCCCCGACCCGGACAATGGGGACCGGGGAACGACACCGACGGCGCCCACCCCGAGGAGACTCCCGGTAAGTTCGCGGCGTCGGAATTATAATTGCTCGGCCCGACCGAGAGGCCGGGCGGGAAGGCGTCACTCGCCTGGATCCTGTCGGCGTTCGGCCCCGGCGGGTTCCAGGTAACGTTGGCGGCCTCCGGCTCTGTGCGGCACCCCCTCGCCACATGCCCCTCTCGACCACAACGGTGGCAGACCCACGGGGCGTTCCGTCGGGGGGGCTCGGCGCGATGTTGTAGAGGCGGCTGCCAGCGACGCGGCGGTTGGTCGCGCCCCTGGTCCCTCTGCTCCGCCAGTCCCCGGATCGCCGCGTACACCTCCCGTAGCGATGGCTCCGTCTCAGACGTCGGGGGTCCGTCCCCAGCTGCTCCACAGGCAGCCTGTGGCGACGGTGCAGGTTCGGCGGTTGGTGTCGCTGGACCCAGTAGTGCCGCGGCAACGGCTCGGCTGTTCCCCCCCGCCGCGCCAGCTACCGGGCCCACGGGTGGCGCCCGGCCCATGACCTGCTCGTGGGCTTGGATGGTCCGGGCAGCCCACAGCGAGGTGCGTTCCCCCGGCGTCACCACGGGCATTACAACGCCGGCGCGGCAAGCGTAGGCGATGAGGTGCTCGACCACGAGATCCTCGAGCGCTTCTTCAGCCAGGCGAGGGAAAGCTCTCCTCGCCAACACGAGCAGTGCACCCCTGTAGGATAAAGGGGATTCTTTAGCCCCTCGCTGGCGATCCTGGAACCGTTTAAAGGCCCCTTCCGCCGGGCAATAGATCTCCCCCAAAGCCTCGTAGGCCGCCTGTAGCGTGGTCTTGCTGTGCGAGGGAAGGGAGGTGTAAGAGGCGAGTGCTTCCTTGCCCAGAACGGATGGCAGCGCTCGTAGTGCCTCTTCGTCTGTCCACTCGAGAGCGTGGAAGGCAGCCTCGAATCGGCGGACAAACTCCTCCCAGTCTTCTTCCTCAGCCACGAACTTGTCGACGGGCCCCAGCCGACGCGGCCGTCCGGCCACCTGCTCTCCCTGTTGGGTGGTTAGCCCTGGGGGTTTTGGCGGGACCGGCGGCGGCTGGCGTGACGAGGTTGGTTGCCCGGCCGGCTGGTCGGCCTCCGGGTCCCGTGGCCTCTCCTCCCGTAGTACGCGTGGGGGTGGGGGTCCCGGTGCTGGCGGGTCCCCCATAGGGAGCCTCTGTAGGAGCTCCTGGAGTGCCCTCTCCACGCGGGCCATGCGGTCCTCCATGGTGTCCTCCAGGCGATCCGGGCCCCCTGCTGCTGCTTCTGATAGCAGGCCCCCTTGTTGCCCGGGATGGGAAGGATCCCCGGCCCCTGCTTCCTCCTCCCTTGGCTCTTTCCCGCGGGGATTTTTCTTTGTAGCCATGAGATCCCACCGCTGCCACCAGATGTAAAGTAGGAGCCGACACCAGATTGCAGGGGTCTCGTCCTTTATTCTTTTCCTTCTCTCCACACCTGTCCCCCAGCCGTCCCAATCTCGTTCCCGCCAAAGGCCCCTTCTTCCCGCCCGTTCTCTCCTTATATCTCTTCGATCACCCCTCCCACTAACCCATCTATTGGTGGGAATCCTTCCCCTGACACCCCTACACGAGCACCATACGAAACCCATTCGCATTTATTTGTTTTAACACTAACGTCAATGTTCTGAGAATATTCGGTTGCCCATGATTCAACCATGCTACTTTATGTACTTTCTTAGAAACAACATAACGCACGAATAGTATAAACATATGTTATTATGAAAATATGCTGCAGTGACAACATTTTGACCACAACTTGCTCCGAAGTAAATTATTTGGTTAGAGCTCAGCACTGACATAACCTGTTTAATCAAGTTGCAATTGATACATTCATTGGACCTGTCTAATATTGTGATTGGACACTGTAATTGGACAGCTGGTTATTGTTATGCATTTTACACACATTTCAAACATAAAGGCCATTCCTTCAGGTGGGATTTCTAAAAAAATAATGACCATGATCGCTTACAGCTGCGAAAGTCTTGTACCCAATGCACCGCATAGACTCCGTTCTATACATCAATTCATCGCGTCTTTTCATGATGCAGATCATTTAGAGTTCGATGTACTGCATCCTTCATTTAGTAAGCCATGCTAGGGTCCGTTTCCAATGATGGCTCATTAAAACCCCTATGGTGGTTTTTCAAAACTTAAATAACATTATGCTAAAGAGTAGGCACGTGTGCTCCCTGGTCACAGTCGTATAGGTTCCCTTCCGAAAGCAGCGGCGGGAGCAAGTATTTTCAGGGCTACACCTTTACCTGTTTTACATTCCTAAATCTGACAATAGCTGCATCTTAGTAGAGACAACTACATTCACGGCATATCCTGCACAGAACGGAACTTTCTACATTTGAAGTTTTCGTGACTGCTGGGATCCATACTCTTTGGTTCTTTCGGTAAAGTCACGTAGGTATAAAATATAAAATAAATTAAATCAATAAATTAAATCATTTATTTTATATTTTATACCTACGTGACTTTACCGAAAGAACCAAAGAACGGAATTTATCTCAAAGAAGCTCTTGCCTGATTTAAACGGAGCATACACCTACACATACCTAAACGAATTCATAGGAGCGGCGGCGTTGTGGTTAGCGCATTGTGGACTGAACCCGGCCATCAGAGATCAACCCTCTCCCGCTCGTGCGGTACAATATGGCCAATGAGTCACCAAGATCTAGCAGTGGAATGACACACGGTTTGAAAGCATGACTATCACTAATAGAATGAACATCTTGAAGTTCGCATGCGAGTAGTAATTCATGAATGTGCACATGTAAAAACCGCGAGGACGGAGTTTAAGAAACATTTCCCGCCCACACGAACAGCACATGTGCATCCCATGACGTTCGCATGCTTAGCAAGCCCCACCTAACGCGTCTGTGTGCGCGTGGGCTCAGCATTTTGCGTCTCCCGCGTGTGGGATGATGGGGAGAGGAGTGGGCGAATGGTGCTTCATGGCAATGCTGGAATAGTTGGGGAGAGGGGAGAGGAGGGGAGATGGGGGGGGGGAGAACTGCAAGAGGGAGTTTTGGGTGTGGTTGGTCGGATTGGTGGAGGGGAAAATGAGTGGTGGTGTTTGGTTGCTGGTGGTAGTGGAATGGGTGGTGGTGGGGGGGGGAAGAGGTTTGGTGGTGAAGTGATGTGGTGGGGGGTGGCTACTCGCCCGTTACAATCTGTGGGGGTGGGTAGTTGGGCCGGTTTAAGGGTGACGTCAGCACAAAGCGAGAGTCAACGCTCCGAAGGAGTGCCTTGGACCGCTCGCTCAGTCGTGATTGTGCTGCTGCTGCTGCTGGAGCCACCACCGCAACCCCCACCGGCTTCTGATGTTCTCCAGCAAACCCAGCCGCGCTTCTAGCTACAAAGAAGCAGAATTCGCCTTCGCCGGATACAATTGATACGCGCGTTTTTTTGCTTTTTGTTGTCAACACGATTCACTTTTCTTTTCTTTTGTTGGTTTGTCATCGTTGTTAAGTTTCTTTTATTTTAGTCAACTTTAGGAAGGGTCCACATTTTGTTCCATCAATTAGGGGCGGGTATAGGGGACGTGCGCTCGGCGTTGATCCGAGTTCTTGCTGCTTTTGCGCGGTCTTTAACGTCTCATCATGCGGACTGATCGTCGACAACGGCACGGGGGGAGCTGCTCGAACACGGGACCTGCTGGTAGCCTCTTGTTGCTTCTGCTGCTGCTGGTGGTGGCACTCTCCATCACCCAGCTGGGACCCACCTCTGCCTTCAACCTGGATGACTCGCGTCCCAACGTATTCTCGGGACCTCAGGGCAGCTATTTTGGATACTCTTTGGATTTCTACAGCCCAGAGAGCTCCAGGTACGGCATGGTTTCTGGTTGTTGCTGGGGTTTTTTTTTAAATGTGCGTGTGTACGTGATTTAACAGTCTGTGCGGACAGTTTAACACAGGACAAGATATCGTATCGGGGGATGCCGAGTGAAGGTTGACGGGACCACGTTGCACCACATCCCCGTATGCTGCAATGTAAATCGGTATCATCACGTGCGCGTGTGTTGCGTTGTAAGAGGGACGGGGTGGGTCATTGACTGCTCGTGGACACTGCTCCCGTTCGAGTTGTTGTTGTTGTTGTTGTGCACAAGCACCTGCTCGACTCGTGTGCAGCACGCGTTCTGCGTCCGTTCAAGACCTGGCGCACGCCTGGCGAGGCTACTGCGTTTGTTCCGCTGAAACGGTGCCAAAAAAACCCACATTTTTTTTTAGCACCGTTACATCTCCGCATATCAAACGCGTTTGCGTGTTTACTTGCACACAAATGTGCTCGGACAGACCCGTTCCAAACTTACAGGGGTATGCATTTGTATAAGTAACGTCGTATGGGCCAGATGGAATGAATAGCTTTCGCACTGGCTTGCTTGCCTCGGTGAATGGCGTTTGAATGAAATTTGCCCTGGTTTTTGATCGGTATATTCACTTGCATCATACCTGGACTTGAAAGTTTCCTTTTCCCGAAAGGGGTGGCGGTGTGAGGCAGGGAGCTCCTTGCTGGGTTCCCTCGTGCAGCTTCTGAATGCCTGGCTCGATCGATTTGGGTTTTTTGATTGATCTAGTGGGAGGGAGGAGGAGGGTGTGCTCTCCCCACACCAGTTTTCTCATTTGCAATGCGACTCATTTTTGGTTTCGCTCGGAGGCGCACGCACGCGCGCTCTTTCATTGCCGGCTCTCGCCAGCAGGGGGGACAACAATCGTCAGATGCTTCCTTTTTTAAATCCTTTATATTAAGTTCGCGTGCTTGCTTGCTTGTGTGCTTGCGTGCTTGCTTGCTTGCTTACGACCGTGCAAACCTTTCGGTCGTTTTTTAACCCACTTCCCGTGATCCAATCGAGCTGACATTTTGCACACAGACTCGTTGTGCGAGACAATTAATGTTCGTGAAAAAAATCCGAAATTTTACACTGTTTAGGGAAAACAAATTAAATATTTAATTACCAATTGTTTAATACTGGCAGACAATCATATGACCCATAGGTGGCAGCCATCTCAAGCCAGAGGACGAGAGGACTCTAGCCGCCACGCATATAAAGGATTTATAGTGAAAAACTTTGTTTTTACGGGTTATACTTATTTACACCTGATGAAGGAAGCTTGTGTTGCCTCCGAAACGTCGTGATTTATTATTTTATTTCTATTATTTTTTCTTTAATTTTTTATTTTTATCATTTATTTTTATCATTTATTTTTATCATTTATTTTTTACCTACGTGACTTTACCGAAAAAACCTTAGTGTGCTTCCACACAACCCAGGCAGCAATGAACGCTGCGTGAGCGACCTGCGATGTTATCAAAACTGCAGTTGACTGGAATAAAGTTCGGCACAATTCCGGTAACGAGAGCTCGGTACAGATAATTAATTCCTGCAAAGTCCCTGAGTTGACAGGCTCGGTAAAACCCCGGATAGATGTCAACCCTAATCGGAAATGACTAATAACAATTATTTTGCACGCTTATCATTTTGCTTTTATTTTTGCATAATTAATGCTTGAACCTTCGTAATTGTTCATCGATACACTAATTTATATCCATTTTTATTGCTCATGTCCCATGGTTTTTGTGCAGCGGTTCAAGATGCAGTTGCATAAAAAAAAATCGTAATTGTAAAATATTGGTGGTTTATTAATGGAAGCCTCAAATTACTCCCATTGCTTCTTGTCAGCAGGGTCCTACAAGATATTTTTGGGCAATTATTTCACGAGGTATTTGCTTTGTGTAAGATAACAGCAGAGCTCCTGTAGTAATCCTGTGCGTAGGAGTGGATAACCGCACCATAATCCAACACCAATGACTCGACAAGCTATTGCTGGACTGCCTGCTACAGAAGTGTGCCTCGTACATTCTCAACTTGAGCCACCGACCTCGCATCCAAGGTGATGTTTGTTCTCCTACGTCCTCCAATTGAAATTGGAATCGAAATAAATTCCAATTGAAATGTATTATTTTGGTTGTCAGGCCGTCCAATAGCACACATTTATTTGCCTTCAATAACAAATGCCATTCGCCTCGGTGGGTGCTCTCTCAAAATGGCCAACGCGAACACTCAAGTGTGCCCCAAACCGGTATAAAATAGAAAATATAACAGGTGGGGCTGACACGCATGCACCCAGGGCTCGTCACAGAATTCTTGGGAAGATGGGCTCGTGCGTAGGTGTCAAACGGCGCACCGTCCCATCTGGCCTCCATACGGTTGAGGCCCCTTCCCAGTCAGTGCCTGCCCTCTCTCTCTCAGGGCACGTTCCAGCACTGGCATGCTCGCATGTTTGATTTGTTCCAAGGGAGAGCCAGCTGTGAGCTGGAACATTGGAAAAAGTACCAAGTGTATGATTTAATTAAGCGCTTTTACCAAACTAGGTAGGCAGCTTCATGACGCACTGTGTGTGTGGTGATTTCAAAATGTTTTTTTTACGTATCGTATGCATGTTTTTGCTATATTACATTTAAATGTTTTTTTTTTATATTCGTATTGATATACACACACAGTGTCTTACAGCAAAAAAAGTGTCGGCATCTATTTCCACTACATGAAGTTAAAGTTTATTTTTTTTAAACACGGTATTATCATTATCATCAGTAACTTGACGACTCGTAAGTCAAGAACGAGTTCGTGTCCTTGTGCTGCTACTAGGGGACTGTGGTAGCGAGCGTAGAGCGACGCTTATCTTCGCTGGTGGCCATGAGAGTCTGCTTGAAATTCCACATCGGACGACGACTCTTGACTTTTTGCAAGGCGGCAGTAATTGTATCGATCTGAGAGGGATGACGGTCTGAATCATTCCCCCAACTAGGAATTCAACTCGCGCAACCTTAATTTCTACTGCAGCAACAGCAATAATAATAATACTGCCTATGCTATGTACATGTTTATGGTTGGTTGGCACTGTTGTTGCAGTGCTGAAGTGCTCCATTCACAGTGCGAACATTGCTCATTGAACTCTAGATCCCAAGAAACTCTCAAACCATTGTATGTAACATGAGTATGGTTTATGGGAAATCAACCTTCGTTGTACCATGGAGAATGTGGAATTATTCGCATAATGAGACCCTTTGACTTGCATTCATACGCACATAGCTGCCACATTAAAATTAACCATGCTAATGTTGTCCACATTGTACAGTTTATACAATCTTATCTGATGTATTTTTACTAAGTAACACCAATCCACTTTTCTGTGTGTGGGTAAAGTTGAGTAACGGTTGGCAATGGGGGAATTCCCATCTGTGCATTGAGTGCAGCCATTATTGACCAGCCAGAACCATCTACTTACTGCCCAGACAATTGGTCTGCAGACTGGAAATCACAAGACAACCAAAGCTGGCTATGAATTTTACTTCCTTCGCATAAGAACAACGTGAACTTCTATGCAACAAACGTGGTGACATACGGCTGGGAGATTATCCAACGCAATGCCTGAATTGCGGAACAGTGCCTGACAGTGTGAGTGTGTGGGTGACCTCATATGAGCACATTTCTTTGGAATATACACTGCAGAAGGTGATTTTGTTTTTGTATTTCAGTGGGAAGAGCTGCCGATTATGATGATGCATTCCACGCCTTGCTTATGTGGCAGTTTGATAAGTGGTTTTCCTGTTGTAGTGATACGCTGAAAGTACGAGTCACCAATTATGACTGTGTATCCATCTAAAGTATTAGTATCGTTGCTCGCGGTTGGGTTGCTAAGCACACTGGCTCGAGGAAGCAAAGCTGAAAAATGTTTTGGAGAAGTCATTGTGCAGCTGTATTCGTGGTGGGAGTGGGGATGGTTCATACGATTACTTTTTGGCCACAGCTGTAGTCGGCGAATTTGATTATTTTAAAGTGCTGGCATGATGAATTCACAAGCGAATTTTTTTTAAAAATTCAAAACCCCAACGCAAAACAAGACATTGCATGCTTTCTCCCATCATCATTGGACGAAAGATGTATAAAACGAGTTATCAAGTCCATAACACTGTTTCTCATCAACGTTTAAATTGCCATGTAAGCATAGTTTATTTGTCGTTTGTGCATGTGCTGCATGGCAGCAAGACTGGAGTGGTAGCTTATTGTTCCGTAATCCCGTTGATCCGGTTTGATCCATGGCCATCGCAGTTACTGGAAGTAAATGGTGTTTAAACCCGGCTTGGGACTAATGTATGCGAACTTGCCTTACGATTTAGACTTTAATGGAGTCCAAAATAACCAGCCCTGGTCTCAATAGACATTTTAGCTCATTAACTGCAATTTAAGTCAACATTTAACCGCACTTGTGTCTGCAGTCTATCCATGCTTACAGCGGAATGTGTTTGTGTGTGTGTGTGCAGCAAGGGCATTGTGGTGGGAGCCCCCAAAGCGCACACAGATGCACATCCCAACGTGACGCAGCCTGGAGCCGTCTTCATGTGCCTCTTGCGTGAGGAGAACTGCACACGCATTCCCCTGGGACCGCCCGGTAAGCCCTGCCACCTCAGCCTCATCACAGTTGGCGCCGGCCGATTGTAACAGCGGTGTGGCGTGTGTGTGTGTTGCACTGATCATATCTTTTGTGTGGGCAGTTGTGTATATTCTGTGTCCAAGAACGTCTTGATCTAGAGCATGTGGCACTGGGATATATTTTGTATAGATGTATATTGATTCACTGCCCCGAGGTGGGGAGGTTGCAGAGGTCAAGGGTGGGGGGCTGAGTGGCATTTGATAGCCGAGGTGGCATTGGGTAGCATTGAACATTAAAGTATGTACGTATGTTGTACTTCTTTTCGCACCATACATAGCCAACCGTGCGAAAACCTCAGGTCGCAAAACTGTAGCACTACATATGTGTTTACATGGCGATTGAGAGTGAGTTATGAGATTACCAAGTCATTACAAATATTCTTTGGTTCTTTCGGTAAAGTCACGTATAAAGATAAAATAATAAATTAAATAATAGCATACGACGTTTCGATTGCAACGCAAGCAATCATCATCAGGTATAAATGAAATAGCAACAAAAATCTAACCAGAAAACTATAGACAGACATATAAGCAGACAGATATGACCAAGATACATAGAGAGAGCAACACAGGCACAGAGAGGGAGATCGTCTCTGTGTCGTGGCCTTAAATAGACAGAGGGGGGCGGAGGCAGAGAGAGGGTGGGGTTAGAGAAAAAATTAACATGTCAATGAGTACGAAGAACGCGTAGTAAAGTACGCAGGCTTGAACATTAGGAGAGAGGGAGAAAGAACACACTAAATTAAATAGCCTAGCAAAATATCGAAATGTTATGTAATACAACACAGAGAGTCGGTCAACACACAATTAACGCATAGCCTGGTCGATTACGTATTTCAAAGATTGCTAAGTTATAATTTACCGAAAGAACCAAAGAATAATTCCTGCAGTCACGAAAGCTCCAAAATTAAGATCATTACAAATAGTTATCACATAATTCACTGTTGGCCATATCAGGAGCTGCAGGAGGACAACAAGGGGAGGCCTCTAGTAAAGTGAGCACCGTTATCTTTGTGATGGCGCTTTATTCACTGGACTCAGACGTGCGAGAGTGATGTTTTTGTGCGGAGTTGATTGCAATTCAAGTGTGATAGTTGTGTGAGTTTGCGCAAGATTTGTGTGCGTTTGCGTGTGTGAAGTGGGGGTTAATTGCATGTGTTGCACACACAATGTGTAATAACGTAATGGCCCTGAATGGAAGGACCTGAGTAGTGTGTGAAGCCATACATTTCCGAGGTAGTGAATGTAGCATATATTTATTTAGCCTTTTCCAAGATAGCACTCGCGATACAGTGTTTGTTCATGTAATAGGTCAAAAACTATAAACTATTTATATTTTACCAGGAAAGGCCTACTGAGCTATATAGCTCCTTTTTTTAGAAGCAACCTGCCCACAAATGATAGCTCAACAGAGTGACTTATTACGTTTAAATGTATAGCAAACAAATACTCTTAAACGCATGTTTCTAGATGTGGAGGGAAATACCGGAGGACCCGGAGAAAAATCCACGCGACCACTTTTTAGTTGTGAGCGCAATATTGACTATTCATCAAAGCTCAGCTTTATGGTACTTCGAGAGCATAATTTAGAATTGACATGGATTTCTCGTGATCGTCTTAAAGTATTAGATGGGGAGCAGTGGACGTTGTTTTGCACATTACGCAATGATCCTGCTGGCTTGTGTTCCATTCCTGGCCATGCAAAGCACCAAGGCTTCCTGGTATGTGAACGTGGCCTTGGACTGCCCAAGGTTGACTCCACCTAAAAGGAGGACTGCTACAGTTTGTCGGTATCAGCAGGGGGAGATGAAGGTTGCTGCCTGTGGCCACGCCTTCACTGCATACGCAGTGCTGGGCTTAATTGGTGCTTGCTGAAAGAACTTGCTCTGATAAGTAAATCGGATAACTAAACTATTGTTATTTTCCCAGATAAGGCCCACTGAGCTATATGGCTCTTTTTCAGAAGAGACCAGGCCACAAATGATAGTTCGACAAAGTGGATTATTATCACGTGCAAATATATAGCAGCCAAATACTCTGAACGCGTGTTGATTCTAAATGTGGAGAGAAAAACCAGAGGACCCGAAGAAGAATCCACGCAACCGAGGGGAGAAAACATGCAAACTACAAATATAGTGGCGTTTAGGTCGGGATCGAACCAACGAACATCTGTATACCAGGCGAGGTAGTTAACATATTTCTACTGTTAGCCGACTCTCTGTGTTGTATTGCCTTATATTTCTAAGTTTACTAGGTTTGTTTTCGCTTTCATTCTTACCTGATGACGGTTGCTTGTGTTGCAATCGAAACGTCGTATTCTATTATTTAATCTATTTTCTTTCTTTGTGACTTTACCGAAAGAACCAAAGAATATTTCTACAATGGCGCCCCTATACCAGGGGTGGTTCTTTGTCCTGTAAGAACTATACAGTGATTAGATATTTAAGTGTAGTGATGAATAAACAATGGCGAGACTCATAAATGTAAGGTGCTGTGTTGGCAGTGATACATGAAGAATATGGTGTGGTTTTTTGAATGGATATGTGACACAATCAATCAATTTCTTCATTGAAGCTTCCACTGAGACAAGTTTGGCGAGTGTTTTCGATTTCGTTTCTGAGTTGTGGGTTTTCTGAATGTGGTGATTTCAAAAGGGGACCATTACAATGTCTTGTGGCTTTGACTCACAAATCCATAGATTTGGGTGTCTAAACATTGCTTAAGGAAGATCATAGGCATCATCTATGGTGCTCTGTAGGCCTGTTATTAAACCATGCAGTGGTCATGCCCTCTCCTTGGGTATTTGCCTCCCTCACTGCGGGCTACAGGGTGGTGTCAAAAGTGACCCATTATACATCCAATAATTTGTTAATCAATGAATGCTATTGCATTCCTTCCGCTTGGACACTTGTTTGAGAGCTTTTCACTACTCCTATATATCACCACTTAGCAAAGATGTCGGGATGGCTCGTAGAAAACTTGCTATTATTAATCTGATTTGTAAAACTGGTTAATCTGACTTGAAACTAAATATTATTTGGCAATTGGCTGCAATGCTTGAAAGCTGATTTCTTTTAGTCCTGACCACTAGAGAATATAATAACGTTGTGTAATTGAGACCATACAAAAAAGGCTTGGAATTCATCCCAATGATGTTACGTGCGGCTCTGTGTGCAGAGATGGGCTCTGTCAATGCCACGATGCTCTGCCTCGTGTGAACGTGTTTCTAGCGAGATAAGCTACATGCTTATTACCGTGATGATTATTCGTGATCTGGTGAGCACCGCATTTCATTCACGTAGTGAATGTTTCGCAGAGTTTAGTTGCTGCGTGCTGCTCACCAAATGCAGGCGCAACTTCTCTCCGCACAGTTTCTCTCCACATGTCAGATGGAACGTACGGTGGGTTATCAATGTGAAAATGCTCCTAGATTTGAAGCTTTCGTGACTGCAAGGATTCATATTTTAGGTTTTTTCGATAAAGTCACGTAGGTAAAAAACATTTGTATTACTAAAAGTAAAATAAAATACATTTATTTTATTTTATTTTACTTTTATTAATTTAAATGTAAAACATTTTTACCTACGTGACTTTACCGAAAAAACCTAAGAAAAATGTGAAAATGATCCATATGTCTGTGTAGCCTTTATTCATCAGTCTCTCCCCAATCCTTCCAGGCTTCGCCTCTCACCGAATGCCCTCTCTTCCATCTGCATGCTTTCATGCGCCTGCTACACACTCGTGTCTGGATATGAAGCGCCTTATCTAACAGCCTTCGTCTCACCGTCCTGCTACCCTGATTTATCTCCTTACTCGACTACTTGATATTATGTTTCTATGATGTCATTATATAAAGCTGTGTGGAGACGCTGCTCCGTGCTGTGTAAAGGCAAGGCACAGAATGAGGAGACACTGCCCCCCATACAAGCATCTGACCAGGTCGTGCTGCAGTTTTGAGCGTTCAACTCGCAATATGAAGGATGCAATTTCAAATCCCAATCGAGGGTTAATAACACAAGTACCATATTGGAAGAAGTTTAGTGGTCCTTGCCACATGAATGTCGAATTTTTCAACTGCATTTGTCAGGGCTACTAAAGGAAGGGTAGGCATTGCTCAGTCGGTCTCGGAATAGGGTGGCATTGGAAATTTAACTTTTGAATATGTCCAAGGCATGTGCCGACGTTGTCATACGTGTAACAAAATATATCTTTACAACATTTCCCCTTTGTTTTACTCCTACGATGCTACTGGATAATAAGAAGTAGGCAGGCAGAGGGAAAGCACAGTTCGGCAAATTACAGGAAGTCATAAGTAATACTGAAGTGGTGGAGCAGTGATTTTAATTGGTTTGCTCACTCCACTTTGGACCCAGCAGACATCAATTATTATAATTCCAGACAGAAAAGGTGTGCTTTGACTTTAGCTGTGGAGTGTCAAATTAAACGATTATTTAATGCCTTTGTCAATCCACTGCTGGATTAAGTCTTGGCAGTGCTGGTTTGTGCGCTGGTTCGACAGCCCAGGAACGGTTCTGAACTCGCTCATCACTGATGTTTGTTGTAACCGGGACTCGAACGTGGGTTGTCACACTTAATGACCCGCATCAGAAAGTGCTTTCCCTCGATTTGAGCTCCTGTTAAGAATCAGATTATGCTGGATGTAATCTCCAGCGAAACGTCCGCACCCATGTAAATATGGTGAAGCATTAATACATTTGGCACGTCTGATTCACGTGCCACTTTTATTAATTGCCTGTGTCTGTGGAGGTGGGTTTACGACACACTTTGACAAGATTTAAACCAAAAAAAATGGGTGCCACGGATGTAAGATGTGAATTACCTCGCCTGGTATGCAGGAGTCGTGGGTTCGATCCTAACCCTGACGGCTGTATATTTATAGTTTGTACGTTCTCCTCCCCGTAGTCACGTGGATTTTTCTTCTGGTTCCTCCGGTTTTTCCCTCCAGAAACATGCTTTTAGAGTATTTGGCTAGTCTAAATGTCCACTTGATAAGCCACTTCGTTGAGATCTGATTTATGGACACGCCACTTCTGAACAACAATCCATCTGCACATGAGCTGCTTCCATCGCTCAATCTCCACGGCGAACGCTCTGTTGGCCGTGTTCTCTCTGTTGGCTGCCACTCCACCGTTCGTCTTTAGCACCTTTCTAGATTTGAAGCTTTCGTGACTGCAAGGATTCATATTCTTAGGTTTTTTCGGTAAAGTCACGTAGGTAAAACATCAAAATTAATAAAAATAAAATAAAATAAAGATCAGATGCCTCTGAAACGTCGTGATCTTTATTTTATTTTATTTTAATTAATTTGGATGTTTTACCTACGTGACTTTACCGAAAAAACCTAACAATATTTAGCACCTTTTACAGATAGCGAATTAACGTTGCTCCCCTTCTTAGTTATTCCTCAAGTACTGTATGCTTATGAGTTGGTAAGTGAAAACAAATCTTAGTGAAATCTAATTAAAGGTCACTGCAGTCCTTGGTTTTTATTATGTGAAATATAGTAATGTATGTGAGATGCATTCTCCAAACTAGGAATACAGGGGGTTAATAAAGGTATCTGTTATAAGTGTAATATCATGAATTGGCAGTTTGTGCTCTGTCGACAACACTGATAATATAACCACACGTTTTACTTTTAAAATTTTATTGTTTTAATTGTATTCTTCAAACTTCAATATGTCCCGCAATGGCATTAGCGACGCACCATATCAATTTGAGAGTTCCAGCTGTTTACCAGCACCTGATCCGTGATTGTTTCAATTCTCTTTGTGTTTTGTTGAAAATCACACCAGCTTTTTGTGCTTTTTCGCATGTACTTCATTTTGCGCGTCTCTCCAGCAGCATACCACACCGTTAAACATGTCCAATTATAATGCATTATTCACGGATGATACCTTGATGGGCATCCTGCATATGCGAACCCATCGGTCCAAGTGTTTTGTTATTATATTTAATTAAATTGTTGTAATTAAAGGGCAACTTTTGAAAGGTGGTCACACAATATTATTCTCAGGTGCATAGCCGTGTGGAAAGAATGGGAGTATGTAGGTGGGAGGAGGAGAAGGTGGGGGGGGGGTAAACATTTATTTGGCCAAAAAAATAATAAAGACTTGATATCTATTTGAAGTGCTGTGGCTCAGAGACTTGGCCACGCATTAGGGGATGGGGTGGCTCCGGGTAAAGTCTGGCAGGGGTCACGGGTAGGGAAGACTGATTGCTATCGGGCAGCAGTCTGAGTAGCACTCAAAAAAAAGAGTTAATTCTCAGTCATCCCCCTCTTGCCTCCGTGGGAAAACTTAAGAACACGGGGCTGAGCGGTGATCTTGTCATTGCTATGGAAAGCCGAATGGGTAACCTGGCAGCCTGCTCGGCTGTAGAAATAATAATTATTATAACAGCACTAAATCACATTAAGTGGAATTACTTTTAGATATTATTCTCCAAGGAACCGTACCATATACATACGCTGCAATATGTCATGCTTAGTTGAATTGCTAATCATGCAAATGAACTAGGTGATGCATGAAAAACTGTGACATTACCTATTCCTAGAACAGTGCTCAGGATGAATGGTTTTGTTCTACAAAGCCATATTTAAGGCTTGACTTAAAACGAGATGTGGACATGACTAAAGTCTAACTCAAAAACCCTCGCGCAAAGTTGGTGCAACCTAGCAAATGCCCTGTCGCTATCAAGCGGGAGGTGGGCTGAGTTTCTGGAGAGGCAGAATTCCACTTATCAAGTGCCTAAATGGCCAAGACAGTATGAAAGGTCACTAAGATGTGTCTGTGGCACATGTTGTCAGACACCACTGCCATTCCAGAACCACTTATCTCTCCATATTCATTCAAACAGTTCTGTAATTTGAATCCATGCATCACAATTGAAAGGTTTTATATCGGGAAATAATTTATTTTTTGTTGATAGAATGAGTGCCACTTCATGGGAAGCCTTACAAGTGTTCAATGGAGAGAGACATGGGAATGTGGAATTTCGCCAGTGTTGCCAACAGAAATGAGTGGTGTCCTGTTGTTGATTGAGTAGTGGGAGGAGGCACTTTGGCTGTCTGTCTTTTTTCCATGGCTCATTTGGGAATGACCAGTTTCAGCATTTTATAGCTGTCGAGGCTTGAGGGATGTTGATTTGTTTATCTAAGTGGAGCATGCATCTGATAACAAAACATCTCGGTGCACTTTGGGTTCTTTGATTATAGGCAGTTCCTGATTCTTAAGCCACTTGTGTAAATATGGATGTCCCCTGCCCCCAAGTGCTTGCTATCTATGGTACTGTATCGGCTTCCATGGCAGCAATAACATGGAAAATGCAGCTTTTTGATGTTAATAGCAAGCTTGATCTATGGCATGCCATTACACTGGTTTATGCCAGCATTGAAAGGGGAGCTTGAGTATTATTTACCACCATTGCCCTTCCTGTGCCATGTGAAAAGAGTTAAACAAAAAGTACGTAAAACGTAATCTGAAATCCTGAAGTTGTTTAAGGCTAATGCTTAAATGTGGCGTTGTTTTCTTTTCTTTTTTTTCGTGTAAATTTGGCAGCTTGGTGTAGTTCAGTTAAAAAGGTCAAAATGTTTTTTTATGGGCCCAGAACCTACGTAAATTTCACATTTGCATGGTGGAGGCAAATATTTATCTAGCCTTAACTACAAGCAACCTCCCAGAGTGGTACTCATTTAAGTGGCCCTGGCCAATTCTTTTTTCCCAGCTTATTGTGAATTTCAAAAGTGTCATACTTTATTTTTTCTTTGTAATATCACAACCTTGCTAGGTTGCATTTAACAGTGGAGTAAATATCCATCATGTTTTGATGGTTGATCCTTCAAAGATGTGTGATTTGATTGAGAATCATCCTCCTCTCTGACATCTGACATGTCGTATATATGAGCATTTGGCTTACACATACTCACGCTTGCAAATGTGTGCGTGTGTGCACAGATGAGCGGTACACGCAGATTCGCTTGGGAAGCCCTCCGGAGCGAATGGAGTTCAAGTCGCACCAGTGGTTTGGAGCCACCGTCAGGACACATGGTGAAACTCTGCTGGTGAGTGGAGTCCTACTTGTTCACCGCACATGAGCAACCTGTTTACACACCTATGTTCTCGGTCATTTCCCAAGTAAACACATTACCTGTGGAGGGAGCTGGTATGAACGTTGGGTTGCTCGGTCAATGGCCAGGGTCAACGGCAGTGTGGTGTATTCCGCAAATATGCCCGACTGTGAGGGCGGGCACAAGCCGGCATGAGTAGGTTAAACGTTGAGTTTTATAAGGGCACCACGGGGTGTCCAGCCGCTCCCCACCCAGCCCCTTCCCACCCAGCCCCTCCCCTCCCAACCCAGCCCCTCCCCACCTAGCCCCTCCCTCCCCACCCAGCCCCTCCCTACACGACGAACGGACGGACACAATAATCCCCTGTGGGCTGGTGTAACAAGAGGCTTCTACCAGTAATGCAATACATGCGATTGCAAAAATAACCAGCCAGTCGCACCATGGCAGAGCACACAACCTGCAATAAAAAGTTTCCGTTTGGGTTCGAACGCAATGGGTTTTACTGTGGGAAGATCAACTGTTTTGTCATATTAATATACTGGTTCCTCACCACAGCAATGTGGAATTTCCGCTCCTGACTCAGGGGCCAACCATGGTGATGAGCAATGCCCCATGCTTAATTGATTAAGGAGCGCTGTTAGCGTTGGTACCGCTGTCATTTGCTGCTGGCTGCGTTGTGCCGTGCAGGCTTGTGCGCCCCTGTACAGCTGGCGCACATTCAAGAGCGAGGAGGCCGAGCAGGAGCCTGTGGGGACCTGCTTCCTCTCGAGGGGAAACTTCTCCAGCCAAGCCGAGTACTCTCCCTGCCGCACAGGTGATGCACTTGGAGACGATATTCTCATTGACCCATAGGGAAATACGGAAACCATGCACGGCCGTTCAGAACCAGTCAGATTGTCGATAGAAAGCATTGGCTCACAATGGGATGACTGCAAGTTCAGATCCCAGTTTTGGAGTTTACTTGGCCAGTAATCATCCTTCCCAGGGTTCATAAAAGTAGCTTCACTTTGTGGAAAATAAGTACGGATCATCTTTTGGTGAGAATGGTCCCTCGCCATGAGAATGAGGAATTTCCACCACTGGCTTGGGTAAACTAAAGGAGATGAGTGCCACTCCACCCATTGCGCTCATGAGCATTGAGATACTTAGAATGTTTTAAACCTTATGCTGGCTCTGTGAAGTGGATAATGTTTGTCCATGTTGCAGCAATGATTTGGCACTTCAAATATATAGTAATAGTTCTTATTTAATCCAAAAAGCATCAATTTAGTTTCCAGACTTTCAGTAGTGTTCTGCATGGAAATGTAAAGTCCCTGCTTTGTTTTGTATGTGAGTAAGAATTGGGAGTACCGACAGATAACCCATGCAATCGAGGGGCTAACACTCAATGGCACTCCAGGATCAACATTTCCATAGGAAGTTAAACCGGATGCATTCATCTGCTGCAAAGTACATTTTAAGGCCACGTGATATCCTTCAAGAGTAGGCCACCAAGTCCATAACCCAAAACTCAAATATTAACTAAACCCACCTAGAAATGACAGCTTAATTGTATGTACATTAACTTCGTATACACCCTACGTAGCCAACCCTGTTAATCGGAGGTGCGAATGTCAATTGTACCATGTCGATTTTGTCATTTGTATTTTTTCATAGTTGTTCATACTTGACAAAAAAGGCACTTCGGTCTTGCTTTTGAATTCGCTAAATTGGCAGTAAACTCTGGGGTGGTTCCTTGTGCGCATCTCATTTCCTGACCCCCGCAACAATCGGTGCTTGATTGTGAATGTGTCTGGCAAGTGTCAAATTAGTCAGCCGACCTAATGCTGAACCCATTGAAAAGCAAAATGGTGTTTTAATAGCCAACAGCAATGACTGACCCACTGAAACATAAATCTTGTGGGGTCACCGCATTCTGTCATATGTCAGCATTAGGTGGCCATCCATTGAGTAGGTACGCAAAAATCTGTCAACTTGACCCCTCCCTGTACGCATGTGCGCATTTTACCCCCCCCCCCCCCCATCTGCGTACTTACGCTTGACCCACCCCCTACACGAATCCTTCAAGTTCATTTATTAGGTATAGCCCTGTGAGCCATTCGGCTCTTGAATCGGGTGCAACCGCAACAAACAAAAAGCAAAAACATGAACAAAAAACATCTTAAAGTGAATCCTATAGAACGGCCACGCAGAAACTGATCAAGAATTAATTATATTAACGTGTTTAAGCAAACAGTCCACCACCGGACTATCTAACTCATTTGAAGGCCAATGTAGACAATTTCCTTATCGAGGCTTAACCCCCCCCCCCCACCCCGTTTCCTATGCGTACGTACATTGTCAGTAGACCCCCCCCATACGCAAGCGTACGCATTTGGGTTAGCCCACTCCATGCGTACTTACTAAATGGATGGCCCCTTATCCATTAAAACACGTTTTTTACTCCTATATTACAGGAAAGCTCCTGATCAAGGAAAACATTAGAGACGGACACAATACTTGCTTACATGCCAGTGGCAATGACAAAGTTCAACTGCATCTCTGCCAAGATCAATATTGCCCTCCTTGTTACTCTGTACAAATATAGGAAGAGAGAGCATGTGTGGGGCTTTGTTATGATGGTGCTACAGAGTGCAGTTATACAAAAGTGAGAGAAATGTATAGATATAATGTAGGCTTTATTGAAAAAACAGTTGCTCCTCACAGCATACGCACAATGTGTAGCTGTTTTTTTATGCTATAGAAGCAGCTTTTGTTGGCTGTGAATTGTAATTCTGAAAACGGAGTGCATGTGGCAGAGAAACGTTTATTTATTTATTTTGAAATTCTTGGAAAATAAAAACCGTTCTTTGTTTTAACTCTTCACCCGTGCTGGTGGCCTGAGGGTTCAGTGTGGGGGCTTCGTTTGGCCGAAAGCGGCAACATTTGTGAAAGTGGTTGTAGGAGGTTAAACACACCTCCCTTAAGGGAGCTTTTGAACCAGAACTGTTTATATAAGGTACATACTGTGCCATATTGCTTTGAATTTCTAGTGACCAATAATGTTTGTTGAATCTTAACCATGTTTTGTTTTGATCATTTATACCTTTTTTTCCACCCATTAATTGAATTTATTTTAAGGTGAAATGAGTACTACTTTGTGCAACCTCAACATTTGTTGTCCTTTGCAAGGAAGCTTGCTCCTGCCAGAGAAAAGTGTAATTTCAAACAATGGTTCCCTAACCACCCATGGGGATGAGCAATTGCACCACGCTTATTTAAGCATAGATACACTCTACTAACATTGATGACCCTGTTGATGAAAATAATCTGGTCTGTCAGTATGCTAGCTACAAACATCCCACATATTGTCTTGATGATGAGAGAGAGATATTAGATAATCAAAAATCGTTCAGTGGCGAAAATGTTAGGGGTTTTTTTTTACCTGTAAAACCCATACTGATGACGAGCTGATTGAATAAAATAAAATAACCTGGCATTCCCAGGGAAAAACCACACGTGAATGAAAAATTACACTGATAATACATCTCAAATCTTCGTGCTGCACTTCAGGAGCTGTATTGGCGGTGGTCAGACACACATTATGCTGTCTTTGTGTGCTCCGCACACACCCTGCCTGCTTTACAGGCCACCGCACCTGGCCCATACAATTATTATTTGGGAATCGCTCGTCCGTTTACGAGGCGTGGGTGCCACCTGAACTCTCAAACTCGTCTGGCCAGCAGCACGAGTGCTTGGGGTTAATAATGCATTACACTGGTCAACACACTTTTTCTGGCATAAGGTATTCCAACGGTTCTAAGGTAATTTTGGGGTGCTGATTCCAAATCTGGCATCAGTTTTTGTCTATCACATCAGGTTTTTGAGATCAAATATTGCATTTTCAATAAAGACTGCAGAAGAAAAATATTAAATAAATGTGGATATCTACATAAAATGATATTATAAACACACTATCCTAAAAATACAGCACCATATTTTAACACTAAAGCAGTCACTGACTCGCAACAACTTGCAATCATAAGTGACAGAGTTAATTTCGGGTAAAATCAATGAAAATGGGGTATGCCGATAGCATAAAAAGAGATGTGATAGAGCAAATCTGAGATCAAATTTGGAATCAGCACCCTGAAATTAGTCTGCAAAAGTCCAGGCCAGAAAAAAATGTTTTTTTTTTGTTGACCAGTGTTATCAGAGATGGGGGCCCTTCACCTACACAAGTGTCTTGCATGCAGCTGACGTTTAAAGGTCCTTGTAATCGATGGGAACGATTCGTGGGAAAATGTGTGTGAGATTTAACAATAATAAGTCGTGTCCGCTTGGCTTTCTTTAGCAAAAGAAACGTCACAATTCCTCATGAATATGCTTCATCTTGTGGTCCACTGCGTGGCAAACGGAATTGCAACGCAGAGTCTCATTCAACAACATGGGTTTCGTAAGATATGTGCTTAAAGTTCCTAGTTGTTTCAATATAAACAGACACATGTCTATGCATGAGATTGCGTGCGCAATTTTCCTTTGGTGTATTGGTAACTCCAGCTTAAGGGGAGATAAAAGTGGTCCATGAACACAATCGGAACTAAAACGGTGTCTTTCCATCCCTGCAGCCGTTGCTTTGTGTAACAAACATTCAGCAATATGAATTCAGCCACTTGACTCTTAACAAAAAGATTGTAAGGAAAGTGGCTGCAGTTGCAAAACAGTTGCCTCTGAGTATCGCAAACAACGGAGAAGTCGGGAGATGTGCACAGGGCATCTTGTGACTTTTATATTCTGTGAATCTTGACTTAAAGCTTTCGTGACTGCAGGAATTCGTATTCTTTGGGTCTTTCGGTAAAGTCACGTAGATAGGTTCAAAGAAAATAACAATCCATCGCAACGCAAGCTGTCATCATCCTCCTGATGACGACAGCTTGCGTTGCGATCGAAACGTCGTACTTTTTGGTTATTCTTGTTATTTTCTTTGAACCTATCTACGTGACTTTACCGAAAGACCCAAAGAATATTCTGTGAATGTTAAGCCATGGATGTTTTTGATTGCATGCCGTTTTCTGTACGTGTACGTGTGCGTGTGTGTTTCACACATGTAACCTTTTTTCTGATGTGTGTGTGTGTGTGCAGGCAGAAGTGACCAAAATGGACAAGGAGTGTGCCAAGCCGGTTTTAGCGCTGACTTTACCAAGGTAATGCCGTTCCCCCCATCCCCCGTGATAATGCAATCAGCATCCCACAATGTGGACCCTACACCATGCCCCCCGAGTCCCGATCTGATACATTCGTATTGTTTCCTCGATGGGCAACATTCAACTTTTGGCTTAGAAATAAGAAAGTAAAATAGGAAATGTGCGCACGGTCTTGTGGTCCGATAACATTCATTGTATTTGGTGGCAATCTGCAGAATAAATAACAACCCCGCCTGCTACGAATATGCTGTTGGCAATTTCCGGATGACAACACGTCATAGTTTTTGAGGGCAGCTCCTAATCTGTCTGCTTGGTAATATCCTGCTGCCATTTACTCAGAGCAAGCCACTGCCAAACCACATTGCCAGCAATACATGTATTATACGTGGCAACGGTTCGTCATAGAGTTGAACAAATGACTCCGTGTGCATAGACGTTTGTTATCCAACTCGCGTTAAAAGGCAATTGCAAGAAAATACTCGCCAGCTTTGTCATTTGCGTGGCGGCATACTCGGGAATTCAACAGGGGACTGGGTGTGAGCCAGAAAAGTGGAGGTCATATAATGCACCGGAGAATTTGGGATCCTGCCACTGCACACACTGTTAATGATGAGGACATAATTGTTAATGTATACTAGGTTAGCTGTAAAAATGGTTTAAGTAAAAAAAAACTTAAACACAGCTCTATTTTAATGTGGAAAATAGAAACTTAACTTCAGTCAACAAGCCTTCCAAATGCATTGAGCAATGAGTGGTCTGGAGCACTGCAGACTCGGCTCAAATTACAAGGCCTTAGGAAAATGCAATAAACAGAGACTTTTATAACGTAGGTTTTCGTAGCCAATTGAATGATCCATAATTGCTTTTGGGTTGGGCCTTATGGTTGTATTATGCCAAAAATGTGTCGTTAACTCTCCACCACCTAACAAGATTGTCATGTTTACAAATATATTATTTGCACGTGCTAATATATCGATCAAATTCTGACTGATAAAACTCCTCACCGGTGGCTTAAGACTTAACATCAACAAGCTTTGCTTGTGTAAATACAATCATTATTAACGTGACAATCTTCTTGGGTTCTTGATGGCTACAGAGCACTCAATGGGTTCACCCCACAATGTTTACAGGAACTGATCCATCTTTATACACCGAGGTCCATGAGATCTATGGGATTGCCTTCGAAGTGTACTCCAAGGTCAAGGTTCATTTCCTGGGGTGATCGGGGCTTTTGCCATTGCAGCTCCCAAGATTTGGGCGCTTCGCCTCTTCGAATAAGATAATCAGAATCGTTATATATATTTAATTATGGCTTGAAAACATATATTTAATTCTGTCTTGAAAACTCACCTCAACTCTCCTTTACCCCGCAATTCTGGCCATTTACCCAGGTTACGGAAATGATTTATTTCCATAAACGGTGCATTGGGATGTACGGATGAAATGCACCTTACAAATGTTAATCATTATTCATATATTAATGGCGAGAATCTTGATAAAACCACAACGTGACCTAACTGAAAAGCAAAATCCTGATCGACGTAGAGGATATTGCTGCATCGACATATATAATGTTGTTTCCACAATGATTCTTAAAATGTAAAATTAAAAAAATGTATGCTTCCTGCCCGATGCATATTGTTTAATCTTCAAACTAATATTCCTTTCAGAAGAAAAAAAATTCATGTACATTATTTACAAACCTCGTTTAAGCAGCTTTTTTTCCTGCAGTAACGTGTTTACGTTTTGTAATGGCTGATTGAACAGTGTTCCAAATTGCATGGCCTCTAGAATTGTTGTTCAACACAGAATGTGCGTTTTTCCTCTATAATCTGTTGAATAAACACGTTTAGTTAATTGTCCCATAGACGTAAATTGGCTATTTTTAAGATTAAAAGTAATTATTTGTTTTGTCTTCCAGGCTGGATGGGTGGTGCTTGGAGGCCCAGGGAGTTTCTTTGCTCAAGGTAAGAATTGTCAAATTTTTCTGCTAAATCTTGTATATATACAAAGCTGTGGTTTCAACATCCAATTATTTTATTCATGACATAAAAATGTATTGCGTAAATTATCTCCATATGTTATGGAAATGTTACATGTTAAATCTTACGGTTGCTCACATCCATAGAGCTCGTAACTGCCAACTTGAATCTCCAAATCTGAAATTTGCATGACATTTAGCGTTGAGTTTAAAAAAAAAACTTACAGTATTTGATTCGTATTTTCACACGTGAAATGCATTTGCTTAAAATTCTGGCACTTCATCAGCGTGAGGTGTCCTTGCTTGTCTGGGGCTGGGATGGGAGTGGGAGGGGCTGTTGAAATCGCTGTGGGTGGCAGTGCATGGTCCCTCTTGAGCACGAATAAAAGTTTGCAAAATGAAGACGCTGGTACCACTGTACTGACACATGGATACAATAAGACATTGTCAATGGGAGTATTACTCATTTAAGAGAGTTGGACGTTTGCTGCAAAAAACTTGATTTTGCAAATCTGTCTTGCTAGACCCAATTGTCTCGTGTACAATGGTGTGCAGATGTCATTATTTTAGCATCTCAGATTCACAAACCATCACGCGAAATCCGGTCATCCTTGCATCGGCTTTTGTTTAGCCATTGAACAAAGATGGTCACTGCATCACGTGCTTTTAAGATGTACTTCTGTGGCCATCTGGAACTCTTCTTTCTCGGTATTAGGAAGCCACCGGAGCTATGCACTTTTAAATCGAGATTGAAAATAATTTCTTTAGAACTGCTTTTTGTGTTTAGTTGTCCTAACCGCACACCTCCGATTAGCGTAAGTTGGCTACGTATGGTGCAAAAGAAGTTCAACATACGTACAATGAGGCTCATTGCACACATTGCTGGCCTCACACCTGTTATGTATCTACAGAATTCTGGGAAAGTTGCCAGTGTTGACCATGCGTGGATGTCCTTACTTGAATCGCTGCATTGCTTAGTGATTCCCACAGAGAATAGGCAGATGTACGCATTATCCCCATTCTTTCCACATCACATATGGCCACCATTCACTCGTTGACAAGAGGCTTCGTTTCATGCATTATTCCTATTGCTCGGTGTAACACATCTCATTGTATCTTACGTGCATTCATAGACAACAGAGGTAAATGTGAGGTGTGCTTCTTCATTTTCTCAGCGAGATTGTGGATGAATAACTTTTAAATACAAATTTCTGTTCAATAAAACCTGTTAAATAAAATGCTGTAATTTGAGGGCTCTGTGAGTCTGACGGAGTATGAACACATACTCTTGGAGTTATTTGATATAAATGGCCTAAGTGTAAATTATGTAATTCAGAGGTTGCATTCCATTCCTCTGGCTGAAGTGGTGGTGCAGTGATTGGCACAATGAATCTCTAGTGATCTGCATTCGATTCCTGGCCACAGCTACAATCAGTGGTGACTGATGCCTTAGCCGTTCCTGTACTGACCAATGTGGTAAAGTATGGTTAAAAATCCCCATAACTGACACAGCATATGGAGGCATTCATCCGATAGTGGATTGACAAAGGGATGTAAATTAGTATTGTTATTCCATTACATCACCAACACATTGCAGTCGATTACCTCTCGTACTTTAATATTGTGAATAAATGTGGAATACTTCAATGTAAAATGCATGTTATCCATAACAGAATTTACATTGTCAATCCACTGCTGGACGAGGTCCTCTAGTCTATGGGGGTTGTTTGACTACTTCACAACATGTGCGGGTTGATGAAGGTGTGGATATAGACATGGAAGCATAGAAGTACAGTAAACGATTTCTATGGGGTGCCATATTGCCTCAACTACCTCACCTGGTAGTATACAGGTCGTTGGTTCAATCCCGACTCTGATACCTATATGTTTGGAGTTTGCATGTTCTCTCTCCTCGTGGCCGCGTGGATTTTTCTTAAGGTCCCTCCGGTTTTTCCTGCCACATTTTAGAATCGACATGCGTTTAGAGTTTTTGGCTACTAAACTTTTCCACATTGTAAGCCACTTCATTGAGCTAACGTTTGTGGCCAGTTCACTTCTGAAAAAGATCTATATAGCTCGGTGGGAACCGACCTGGTAAAATAGAAAATAGTTTAGTTAGAAAAAATGTTTTTAGTTCATGTCGTTTTCTGCATTGCACACTGCTGCCCACTTTTGTGGATAAAACATTTTAACAAAAAATAGCAAGATACACTTCCAATAAATGGTTTTCAGATGTTTTGCCCTCATTTGTTATGGTAGTTTTTGTGATAAGTTGGGAGCAATACGCACTACGTGCCATGATGGAGCAAGCTTCCTTGTGGTTTTTCACGTGATCGTTCTGGTTAGCGTGTCCTCGCTGATAATGCTCAGCATGAACACAAAAAACCCCTGGAGAATAACGGCTGCTTGTGTCGGTGAGACTGTTTGTGTTGATGGAGGGGAACTCCCTTTTTTTAGTCTGGTAATTGCCTTGAAAAAATCAGTTGGCTGCTTAAAACAGTCCAGCCCTTGATAATGGAGGCCGATACTGATAAGGCATGTATTGTTTACAAGCCCCTGTGCCAAGCTCTCAAACGAAATGTGGAGCTTGGTTTAAATGTTTTATCAGGTGTCGATTATTTCTTTTTTGCATTTGCTACTGCATACGATAATGTTGGAGTTCTGTTTTGACACCTTGCGGAGTAGCAGCCGTTTGCTGCTGTAGGTTTGCTTTGGGACTCCCATTAAATCGACAGGCAGATATTACGCCTGCCTTTGTGTACTCTGAGACTGAGTGATCCAAAACGCAGTGTAAGTATACATTTGGTGTACTTTCGTTCTGTAAGGGTTGGTTGTGAACATATTTTGTTAGTGTAAAGTTTTAGTGACCTGGCTGGATGGAGTTGTGGAGGAGTGTTTTTGACATATTAGCAGAAGGTTCAGAGTTCAAATACCATTTGGGGGTTGACTTGGCCCATCATCCCTACAGTATCAATAAAATAAGTACCTATATATAGAAGTTAACATTATTTTGGCTTTGAAAACACTTGAAATCAAAATCTGTAACTTACAAGAAAATAGATCATGACAGAAATGTGTTCCTGCAATAGGAAAGGGACATTTACACCTCTGACTCATTACCACAATCGCATATTAGCATTACCCAACACTTCTTTAAGAACATGTTCTTTGACTTAAAAGATGTAGTGAAATAAAAACATATCCATGAATGACATTTTTCCCATTAACCTTTGACATTTCCTGGAACTTGGTAACGGCAATTCTGTGGAAAACAACAATCCGTTAAAGATGTCTTGCAAGATATGTTTTTAATATATTATAATTTTTACCTGTTATCCAAATAACTGTGTTCTTGTACGGTATATATGGCTGCTTCAGAGAAATAATAGGGCGTGGGGGGGGATATGACGGGTGGTAGTCGGTCATTCACCACCCAGTCCACTTGAGTTAATGGCTCCCTTCCTATGCTAGCAGGTGATTTTTGCAAGGAATAAAAAAACTCGATTTGCCATAATGTCCACATTAAAGTCCCTGTGACACCTTTCACGAAATTAGGTCCTCGTACACCGATTTCACATCTCGAATGACAATTTGGCAACTAAAGTACTAAAGCAATATATGATCCATTCTGGTGAGGAAGCTTGCCTGGCCAGAAAAGGAATAACTTAATGTATACATTTGAACGTCCTCCGTCAGATATTTTGTCTTTATAATTGTTTATATCAACTACTGATTTTGAAAGTACTTTTTAACCGTGGGTGGATCTGTACCGCATGGCAGTCTGATGTTGTCACGATTCTAGTTGATGCAGGAGCGATGGAAACTCACTTTGTGAAACATTCGAATGACAGATAATTACACACCCAGTACAATGCATGTATCACAAACATAGAATTCCTCCTTACAGTTACATGCTAATTTCTCACATTAACATCACTAGCCCCGGCCACTTCTTTATGACCCTTGGGCTACACCCATTTCAAACCTTTGTTAAACAGTCTGCCTCAGCAGCAGACCATGCTTTCCCACCTGATGACGGACGCTTGTGTTGCGCTCGAAACTTCGTGATTTATTTTATACCTACGTGACTTTACCGAAAGAACCAAAGAGTATGGATTGCTGCAGTCACGAAAGCTTAAAATCAAGGTTAGATTTCGAAATTGTTCGTTACATTTAATATAATTGAAATACATACAGCAGTCAAACTCTCGAAGATCTTAAGCAGTGGCAAAGCTGAGTGCATAGACTGTGCAACTCTACTGGTGCCCACAGAATGAAGTGGTCCAGGCAATGGCCTACGAAGAGGTGGGGGGGGGGATAGGATTGGGTGCAAGGGGGGTGGAGCGGAGATGGGGGGGCCTTGCTTTATTCCTAAGAGTTGCGGTAGAAACGGTCATAAACATGTCGAGTCAACCCCGTGTTATAGACCTCACCAGTGAGTGATATATTTCCTTAGTGTTTACTAAATAAATGGGGGTGTTTGTAACTAAACATTGCAATTGGTGATGCAGATGGTCAGCTCGATCCTGCTGGTGTCTGTTTTCTGACTTGTACATATCTAATGGTCGGTTTACTGAACCTGAGTATATAAATTAGCTAATGTAGCTGTGTCATGGCATTGTAAGTAAGTGCCTACTGAAACCGATGTAGAAGCACATCCATTACATCCAAACTTTTGCACGACTGTTACACTGGGTTCTTCTGCAGTGTAACATGCATGAAATTTGTCGAAAGGGGATAATGTGCATTATTTAGCAGATCTTTAAACGTGGTGACAATTTGTGGAGAACGTCACAAATGAATCGAGCTGAAACAGGAAACTTTGCACTTTAGGAAACACTCGAGCACGGTCGACATATTTGTTAATGCAGCACAGACACGTGTCTGCATTTGGACACGGACTTGGCGGCGTGACAATGAGCAGGATTGTGAACTAAACTGCACATTGTCGGGGACTAGTGTGCTACAAGTGACACATTACCGTGA